TCGGTATATATTGATTTCTATTTTGAGTTGGCCGATGATATCTACTCAGTACCCGTGTTTTGTACTGACCCTTACTTTTATGTTCTCTTCTTGTTTATTTGTGGAGTGCAGCAAACGTGTCATCGTCTTCAACTAAACAGTAATTCAAGCCAGTCTTACTACATCGAAAATTCAGGGTGAGCTAATGCTTCTAGCTTGGACTGGATCTTCTTCTTCAAGTCTTGATGCCTTGAACTTCCGGCATGGACTAGCTTCTTATGTATTTTTAGCTTTTAGAATACTCTTAGTTTAGTCATTTGATCGTAGATGTTTTTGTGGTGATGACTTCCAGATTTTGGGGAATGATAAGTTTTGAGTTATAGAAGTTGATTATTGATTTTTATTAATGAGTCTAAGTCTTCCGCATTACTTCATGTTGATATAATATTGAAATGTTAAGGTTTAGATTGGTTGGTTCGCTCACATAGGAGGGTAAGTGTGGGTGTCAGTCGCGGCCCGGATTTGGGTCGTGACAGGAATGTATAAATTTAAGTATAAATATTAAGCTATGATTATGACATGTTTTCTTTATATTGGATTTAGTAAGAACATTTGAGGATGAAACAACTAGGATTTACAATTGAGAAAAGTTACGTAACTAAATAAATATTGATTTATTTGATATAGCTATAATTACGATAATTTTGATTTGCAACTAATGTTAAATTTGAATGGTTATTAATTTTGTGCGGTCTCATCAACTCAATTTTATCAACTTATAATTATCTCTTGCCTATTTTCTTATTTATTTATACAAATTAGTTTTTTTTTCTTCTCATTTTACATATAACCTATTTTTCACCTTAATTCACTCAACCATAAGCTATTTTTGAAATTTCAAAGATATCGTTTCTCCCTTTTAATCATTCTTCCTTTATTAAATTCATTTAAAAGGTTTAAATACAATAGAATAGTAGTAACCATCCAAAAGTACTCCCAAAATCATGCATAAGTTCCACAATTTTTTTTCTCTTCTCTCAAAACTTTTCCTTATCCGAAATAATTTCTATCGGTTTCATTGACTTTTTTTCGCTATCATATTAAAGTATGATTGTCTTTTTTAAGACAAATGTTATATTTGTGCGCTTATATTTTGTAATTCATTGGTGAAGGAGTACACACAATCTTAAAATTATAAATCTGTCACTGAGCGTAAGGTAGAAAAAATTACATCTACAAACAACAAATCGAAATCATCCGAAGAAAAAGGTATTCAAACTGAGTTATTGGACCAACAAGATGGGAAGATTTGAGGTATTTATACAGTATAGCTTGTATTTTTTTCTTATGTCTTATTTGTATATGTATCATTAAATTCAATAGTTTTTTTTTAATATAATTTTTTTTTGTATTTCACCTAATTTGTATATATTACGTGATTTCTAAGCCACATATGATTTTTTACACATAAAATTTATATACCCTATAAATTATACAATATAGTTATTATACTTATACAATTTCAGCATTTATATAAGTTTACCATTGTTTGTATATCTCAAACAACCATAGACATATATAGATAGCATTATAGCAACTCATATTCTACATAATTTTTGTAGTTCAAATTTGTATATTGTCAAGAAGTATACATTATAGCTCCTAGTGGTATAAGTTCAACATTTGTGAATGTTTTTGCATATTTTGATTTGTATATCTATGTATTTTTAATCCACGTGTAGAAGTTTAGTTCATGTTAGTATATTATTAGCAAGTATACATTTAACTATTATTTGTATAAATTTAGCATTTGCATTGATCAATCAATAATACAAATATAATTTAATATAATTTTCGTGTAATTTTAAATATAAATAAAAATCAATTGAAATAAATATAATGAATTAGTTGTGGGATTTTTTACTTGATTTGTTCGATTTTCTGCTTGATTCGTGGAATTATGCGTGATTCGTGATTTTTTTTTTGAAAATGCAACGTCTATTAATTAATATAAGAGTCCTCTTTGTATAAATATTTAATAGTCACGTGAGATATACAAATTGTGTCCTGTTTAGCTACGTTATATAATTTAGCAAACATTAGCTATATTTACCTCATCAAGTTTTAATCTCTCTGATCCTATTTATTTGTCCATATTTCTTCTTTTAGTTGTCCCTATTTACTTGTTCATTTTGACAAATCAAGAAAGTACAAAAAAAAAATTCTATCATACCCACATTTAAATTTTTTGAAAATTTCCAAATTTTAATTCCATCATTTTTGAAATCATAATTAATAAGGGTAAAATTATAATTTCACTATGCTAATTATTGCTATCTTAATATGTGTGTCATTTCTAAAGTGGGCAACTAAATAGGGACAGAGGGAGTAAATTCTTGCTGTATTTTAGAGCCTGTTTGGTTCAGCTTAAAAGCTGGTTTTTGACTTATTTAGCTGTTTGACAATACTCAAAATAACTTATTTTAAGTTTAAAAAAACTTATTTTAAGCCAAAAGTTAAAATCTGGAGTAGTGGTGCTTTTTTTTTTGGCTTATAAGTTGTTTTAAGCTGACCACATTTTTACCTTTTCGCCCTTAATGTTTTTATACAATCTCCAAATTACCCACATAACCCTAACATCTCTCTTCCATTTTTCCCTTTTCACGTTTGGCATAGCTGCTGAATTCTTCCTGTTCTTCCAATTTGAAGTGAAGATAAACCTTGAAGTAAGTTTTTTTGATTATTTTTTTATTAGCTTTCTTTATTTTCTCTTGATTAATGCCGATAATATGTTGAAAAATAAAAATTTATATTCCTCTTATAAATAATTTGTGATAATAAAGAAATATGTGAATGATAGACAATTATTATTACCTATGGACGAAACTAAAATAAATCTTAAATCGTTCTTTGATCTATTCAAATTATATATCTTTAAAATCTATAATAAGTTTATATTCCTCTTATAAATAATTTGTGATGAGAAAGAAATATGTGAATGATAGCAAAATATAATTATTTATGGCTGTAAAATACAAATTAATTAACTTTTATTATGTTAACATCTTTTAAGGGTATTTCAGACATTTTAATTTAAAAAGTTGTTTATCAGCACTTATTTACCAAACACATCAACAATTTTTTTTTTAATTTCAGCACTTTTATCCAAACGCATAACTGCTTATTTTAAAAATAAGTTTCAGCACTTTCAAAAATATTTTTTTAAAGCTGCTTTTATTAAGCCCATCCAAACGGACCCTTAATGTTTTCCTTTGTAATTAGCAACGTGCGAGATTTCTATTAGATCAAATCTTTTGAAAAGTTTCTGAGTCTAACCAAAAGGACTTAATGGGCCGGTAATTGGATTGTACCATGATTTCAGCCCATTTGCATCACTTCGGTTGGTGCCAGTTGGGCCATTTTGGGCTGGACCATTACTATCATTCATTATGTGCAACAGACAAGGGAAAATTACGCGGTTAAAAAATATGTACTATTTAATTATTTATTATAAGCAATAGTTTGTTTTAATTACTATTCGTGAATAACATTATACATTAATTATGTGGGCTGACTTTGATTTTATATAATAAATCATGTTTGTATATGTATAATTCCCCAGAATATACAAATACATAAGTATATATAATTGACAATTATTTTACTGACATAAATATACAATTCACCGCTCTTCTATTCTTTGTCCTTTCTCGCTCGTATCTCTCCTCCCCCTCCCAAACTCGCTCTCCTCGCTCTCCCAATCTCACTTGCCATATATACAAGTGCATATGTATGATATACAATTATCTAACCTATATACACATATAGTTCACCTCTCTCCCACTCTATGCCCTCTTTCGCTCTCCTCTGTCCTCCCTATCTCAATCTCGCTCACCTCTCTCGTACCTCTCCCGATCTCTTTGGCTATATGTACAAATACATATGTATAATATATAATTATCTAATCAATATGCATATATAATTCAACTCTCTCTCATTCTTTGCCTCTCTCGCTTGCCTCACTCCTCTCTCTCCCAGTATCGCTTGCCTCTCTCCACTCTATAACATGTAGCTACAAATATAATTATCAAACTTTAACTATGAAGAGTAATTAAACTATTTTTGTGTAACTATATGTGAAAGTTCCTCAACAATTAAATTGTTGGGAGCACGTCCTAAGAAATGAGTTTGAAATGTGTAAATTAAAATTTAATCGAGTTTCAATATAGGTATCAAAATATCGGATGGATTTTTTTTTAAAAAAAAACTATCCTATTTACCGCCAACTTTTTTTTGCGTTTGATAATCTTGGTGTACAAACTAGTATGTATTTACCATTATTGATTCAATGAGTAACGAGTAATTCTCTTCATCAAGATATAAATAAATAAAAAATAGTGTGTAATTTTTTTTTCCGCTGAAATTTGAACCTAACACCTTTCGAATTTGAACCTAACACCTTTCTAATCATGCCCAACATAGTATAATACTACTTTGCATTATCTTGTCATTAACAAATTAAATTAAGTAAATCATTAGTGGAATTAATTAAATTAAAAACTACAAAATCCCGTTTGTCTGATCTTACACACTCTCCCCCCCCCCCCCCCCCAACCAAAGTTTTCTCATTGTGTATTATTAACAAATTAAGTAAAGCATTAGTGGGATTAATCCAAACTTCCAAAATATCAATTTATGACAAGTGTATCTACTTTCTAAGTCTCTAGAATATGAAATTGCAAATACGATAATATATTCAACATAATTCCATTGGATTCAATCATATGATTTGTGAGTTTGGTAAAATTTAGTGTTTTTCCTATAAGAAACAAAATTTGCAGATAGAATCAAATGATAATCGTATATAACCGTATATATATATATATATATATATATATATATATATATATATAACTTAGGCAAAAACTAGATATTACAAACACATAATAGCAATTCTATCTAACACACCCTATATTTATGTAATTTAACATCTAAACAATTGTACAAAGTGTTTCCTTACTAGCATTCACTCACTCATCATACTCTTAGAGTGCTAAGATACACTTGAAAATATATAATATAATGTTGTAAGAAACCAATAGAGAATCCAATCATAGGGTTTGTGAGTTCGACAAAACCTAATACTTCAAGATCCTCTTTCTTTCAAAAGGAAAACGATATTTAAATTTTAAATCTGTCAACTTAAAAAAAAAACTAGTAGATATACGAAACACAAAATAGCATTTCTACCTAACACACACTATATATTTATATCAAGTAATACCCAAAAAACTATACAAAATGTTTCAATACTAGCATTCACTCACTCACTAAACTCTTAGAGTGCTCCAATATTACCCTTCAAAAAATATAACATGATTTTCTAAGATATCAATGGAGAATCCAACCATAGGGTTTGTGAGTTCGACAGAACCTACTACTTCATGATTCTCTTCCTCCCATAAGAAAGACAATTTGTCGATAGAACCAAAATGAACCGATAGGAGAGCTATATATACATTTCAAAACACACTCTCTCTACTCAGAATTCACATTATTTCAATTCTGAATCCATCACTATAAGTATAAGCGCCTCGATATAACAAAACACAAAGTAGCAATTACCTAACACACTTACTTTTTTTTGTAATACTTTTTTTTTTTTATATAAATTTAAAAGAAGGAACGTTTTGTTGGAGCTCTACCAACAGCTCTCATCAAATTGGCTAATTCAACAACTCTAGCTACTTTTGTTCCTCTTTTTGCTTCTGCTGATGCCTTTCTTTCCTCTGCTTTTCTTCTTGCATTTGCTATATCATTTTGCATCTTTTCTAGTGCTTTTGCTCTTTTTTCCTCTAACTTCCTCTGAAAGGAAAAAAAATAATACAAACAATGTTACTATATATAGTGTTTGATTGCGCACAAAATTATATCCTGAAAATTAGTGGTCTAACACATGTCATGATATTTACAACTATATATAAAATAAGAGTATTTTCATTGGTGAATTAATTTTAATTTCAATAATTCATAGTCTACCACATCAAACGTGATCTACACCTCATTTCACCATCTCAAAGCATATAATAGATGCTTAATGTCATTTGCCTAACACGTAGTCGATAGAGACTAGAGTTACTTTATATTTATGTTGATAAAAAATAATTAAAATGCACGCAAATCGATACATCCACTATTTAACATTATGGTCCCAAACACTAACCTTAGAATAGGGGCAAGGGAACCAAAACAAATCATTTTCTTCTTTTTTTGATTTTGTTTTGTGGGTTTGTGGTGGTGGGGTGGGGTGGGGTGGGGGTGGGGGGCAGAAGAGGGAAAAAAGGAAAGAAAAGCAAAGCAATTTTTGGAGTTGTGCATTCATGACTCATTGAAGGATTTCATTCACAACTTTTTCCACTTTGAGTGATTACTTGACCAAATAAATCATTTGAAGTAGCATAACTAACTCACTAAACCAAGAAAATTTTCACTTTTTTAAAAGTAAACTTATTCCACTATGTTAGTCCCCTAATTTATGGTAGGTTAAAGTCAAATGACTCATCATTTCAATATATTCAATAATAATAATAATTTTTATAAAAAGATTGAGGATGGTAAACAATAGATAAAAGTTCAAATTTGTACAAGCATAATTAATGCAAATATTTCAAAATATTTGGCATTTTGGAAAAGTAGGAATCCGTTTGTTGTTATCCATTCAAATATACTCTTAATGCTTTAATTTGTGGAATGTTAAAGTAAGTGAGACGTTTAAGGGATAATCAATAAAAATTCAGATAAAATATTGTTCGACAGACCTTACTAAATTTTATTTAAATATTATATTTATTTTGAAAATTCAGTTAGCTAGTATGTAATTAAAATTATCAATATTAGAATGCAAATACTTCAAGAAAATTACAATCCTAAATGATCACAAATGAAACTTCAAATCATAGATCCCATTAACGTGTACAAAAATCTTAAAAGACAGATAATATAAACGGATGGGAATACATACCTCAACTTTCTTCATCCATGAAGTAGCCTTTTGGACTTCTTCATTTTCCCATCCATTAATCACAGCATCTTCACACTTAAACCTATTATTAATCTTTGCAATTTTTGCAGTTTGCCATGCACTAATCTTTGATTCAACTTCCTCTTTCTTCACTCTATGTACAATCACTTCTCCTTGTTGACTAATTCCACTCAAATTATTGTTAGGAGAAGGAGTACTAGGGTTTAAATAAACATTATTATTATTGTTATAATTATTATTATTCGTATTATCTGCTACAATAGCTAAAGAATTATTTTCTTCAACTATAGTCTCCTCTTCGAAAATCCTTCCTAAATTATTATTGATTGTACCTTCAACTTCATGACTTGTATCATTATTATTGTTGTTGTTGTCGTTGTTGTTGTTGTTGGTAGAAGATCCAGCAAGTACCAAGGCATTGAACTCTCTACTCATGGTTGTGAAATTCTCACTTGGAACTCCTCCTAACTCTGAGGACAAAGATGATGATCTATGACTACTTGTTTCCCAAGCTTCCCTCCTTCGTCCACGATTAATATTTGTCATGATTGGTGGTACTGGTGGTTGTGGTGGTGTCATAGCATGGATATCTCTGATATCATCATCTCGAAGATTCTGATTCTGATCTTGATCTTCGTGATTGTTGTCTCTATTATTGTTGTTACTTGATAAGACTAGAGCTCTTTGATCATTAGACATGTCAATATTTTTGTTAATTTCAATAGGGATTTTGCTAGGTTTTCAGTGTGTATTCGGTAGAATGATCATACTAGTGGATGAAGGAGAAAAGGAAAATGAAAGGGTGAAAAATAAAAGGGAGAAAAGAGCAACATCATGTTCATTATTATTTTTTTGGACTATAGTTTAATCAAAGAAATATGGTCAAAGTGATATGAACCACACATGCACGTTGGAGTATAGTAGTAATTGAGTAATATATGAGGAAAGTTCAAGAAATTAAGTACTATGGTTCCCAATTCCCATGTTTCACAGATAAAGCTAAATAAAGTACTATTCCTTCCATATTATAAGTCACTTTTTATGTTTTGAGAGTCAAATAATTTAAGTTTAATTAGAAATTTGCGCATGAAATTTTCAATTCTTTTGGACTAAAATTTATATATTTGTAAACTAGGTAAAAAGTACTATGGGTCATAATAATTGATAATTCAAAATGTTTAATAAATTTATGAAAATTTGACAGTCAAAGATAGACTTGTTTGACTCTCTAAACATAAAAAGGTGACTTATAATATGGGACGGAGATAGTAACAAATATAAAGCTACAAAAAAAAGTGATATTAGTGCTGATTATGATGATTAAAATATGCATATTTTATGCATATGATATATATATTGACTACTATTTTAATGCACGACTACATAATATTATTTTTTCTCTTCTTTTTTGTAGCACAAAGTTTCAAGTTACTCCTTATCTCTTGATAATTAAAGTATTTCTTAAATTGATGGAGTTAGAAATTTATATAAGGAATTCAAACATATATATATTCAAAACGATATGGTGCATTGTAGATAAACATCTTAACATGATGATCTTAGCATAGTAATCAAACATTCGAATTTTCAAAATGCATATTTAGACACATTAACTTGCTCTCTTTATAGCAATTCTAATACTGAGTTTTTTATTAGACTAACTCTTTATCACACTTTTTCAAATGTACATTCTCAAAATTGAAATGTTTACGAGGTCAACTTAAATCAAGTTCAGGTAAAAGGTAAAGAGAAGAATAAGAATAAGAAGAAGAAGAATCGCTTAAGTTAAGATTACATGCATCTATGTTATGTATTATATGACAAGAAGAAGGAGCAAATCTAT